AGTGAAGGTGGTGGAAAAACCCTTTGTCCAGGGTGGGACACACACAGACACACACACACACACTTCCAAGAGCAACGGATAATATATATAACAATAAGAACGACGAAAGCAAAACACATAGAACCTACTTGCCTCCACTCGAACTGCCCCATGTGACCGAAACCTGCCCGCCAAGCGCTCCTCGTCGACGTCGGTGAGCGAGTATAACCCGCGCGTGGGGTCACCCGCGGAACAGCTTGCGACCGACGCAATCACAACAGGAGGTAAATGAAACGTGCACCATCTCAGTTCACAAAGCCATGCGCTGCCACGAAATCTATACTTCAATTCAATTCTATAACTCTTTCATGGTCTACACACATATATGACTTATATTGGATAACCCTTGGTATGCTTAGGCACTTAGGCTTAACAGGGTGCAGGTAGCAACCACAAAAGCAGGCGGTCAGCCGGCGTCACTATTGCTCTAGTCAAAGATCTGGGGCCACCTAAGTCGAAAGACACCTAAAGGAAATCGGCAGGCTCTCGGCGTGCACGAAACAGGTGGCCGCTCGGCTCACGACCCTTTTGATCCCAAACTGCACGGTGATGGTGAATGAGCTATCTACTTAGGATGCGAAGAAACTTGCATCCCCGGGTCATCCCTTGCTTCCGCAATGTTCGAGAACATCCAAACCTTGTTTCTTTCGGTTGCGCGCGGATTGCATTTGGGGATCTTGCACGATGCGCCAGCGTTGGCCTAACTGGTAGAAGCGATCAAGCTCTTGTCCTTCTCCTTCTTTTGTCAGGGAGTTTGCAAGTTGCGCGTGTGAGTGCACCCATCGGATCACAAGCTCGGTCTCTTCCAGGGCTTCTTTTAAGCCTATCAGTTCCAAGGCTGTGCGCTGTTCTGGTCCCTTTGGAACATAGACAGTTGACTTCATGCGATCGAAAACATTTGTTGAATCGGTCACCAGTACGGCGGGCACTTGCTTTACAAAGCTCGCGGCCTGTCTGACTCGAATCTGAGTGCCCAACATTTCAGAAAGCTGGAGTCTCACTGCAAACAACTGGTCTTCTCCATTTATGGTTGCTAAGCACTCGGCAGCTCCTGGAGAGCGGCACTGTCGGGTGATCTTGGTGGAATTCCAAGCCACTGGACTGATTTCGCATAAGTCCCCTGCCAACAGACGCTTCGAGGTAATTCCTATGAGGATACCTTGTGTGCTCTTGCCGTCAACCCTGTTCTGTACAGAGGCATCCGCCCAACATGCTACCAACAAGTCTTGCGGGTCATGGACATGTATCAACATCTTGTGTTTCTTGTCGCATTTGGTTTTGTATATGAGTTTGTTCGTCTCAAGTAGGGTGGAGACTGTGCTGGTAGTCACTCTGGATAACAAGAGGCTCACTGCAGCTCCAATCTGTGGACTGGTTTGCTGGGCACACCAGCTCAAAGCTCCCAGCGCGGCTCGCAGCTGCGTCTTCTCGCGATCATTGGTGAGGGAGCTAGGTTCACGGCGGCGTTCGGAGCATATAGAGATCTCCTTCAGGTCTTCAAGGTATTGTGATTGATTCATTTCATAACCCCCTTCCGGTCTTTTCTTGATTTGGACTCCACACTGAGTGAAATTGTCCCATTCCCAAGTTCCCCAATCAAACTTCTTTCTAATTTGGTCACACAAGTTGGTCCATGTCTGGTCACTTTCACGCCCGCAAAAAAGAAAGTCGTCAACATGTCCACTTATGAGTCCTACCAGCCTGCCATCTTGTGACACATACTTGAAGCAACAGGGGTCGGTAACACAACGCGAAAACCCAATTGAGATTAAGAAGTCCGACACCGTCAAGTACCATTCCAGTGGTGCGTCAACCAAGCCATAACATGCCTTCTTCAGGCGCGTGATGGCGCCTGGACTGAGTCCCATGCCGATGCATATTTCATCGGTGGGTATCACATAAGATTCACCTTGGTACTCCCGGCCTTGTAAAAAGGCACCCGAGACATCTCCCTTGGCCACTCGAAAGCCCAGCGCTGATGATATCACCAGCAACAACTGACGGGTGGTCCTGGACATGGTTGGTGCGGCAGTTTGCCGCTCGGCATACTTAGGGTCCATGTATCCTAAGATAACACATCTAGCTTTCGCCTTTTTGTTTCCTTGGTCATCGCGTTTCCAAACCAAAATCCATCTCATCCTCATGACCTTTGATGGATGTGGCCTGAGATGTGGCGGAAGTGCCTCCAGGGCCTGTGCTCCTATGTATTTCTTTACCTCTTCTTGTTTGGCGTTTGTCATGAGAATTCTCTCTTCATCCGTCAAGTGTTTTTCGTTTACCTCCACCGATCGACGTCGAAGGTTTGACACCAAGAAGCTTTCAAAGGAGTTTGTCATATATTGTTTTCCGCGGTTTGTCTCTGGTGTTTCGAAAACGATTTCGACAGCAGCCTCGGACTGCGCCCAAAACACTTCAGCACTCATGGCATGTTCAGTGAGTGGTGTAGTGTCCATGTCGACGACCAAACCCTGTTCATGAACAAACAACATGTCATCATCTTCATCCACACTAGGTCTAGTAGGTGGGGGACATTCTGGAACATATGCCTTATGTCGTATTCGTTTGTAAGGTCTGATCGTTTCCTCATCCACCGCACGTTCGAACTCCGGAAGTTCTGGTACATCACCTGTGACATCTTCATAGTAGTGTTTCGAAAGGTCCTCGGTCAACTTCGTGAAGGTCCACGGAAGATCTGGTGGATTGGTCAACAATTCAAGAGCTTCTTCACGAACTGAGGCTCGTCGTAGCTGTTGTGGACACGCTTTGATCAATCTTGAACCTCTGGTCAGCCACACCACAGAACCTGGTCGATATGTGTTGTCCTCATTCAGCTTGGTTTCCAGGGCCAACACTCGAGCTGGTCCAGTGAAACCTCCAGTCCTGGCTGAACTAGCTGGCCCCCTGGTTTGGATTCTCCACACGTATACTAAGTCGCCGGGTTGGTATTGTTCCAGTTTGTAGCTACGTGTGTTTGCGGCTCTTCGGAGCCGTTCGTCCGCGATCCATTCGGTCATGGCATGTTCTGCGGTGGTCATGCGGTGTATGTTTCTTTGAAACTCACCCTCACTATTTTCACACAAACCTGGGGGAATTTCTTTCATTCCACTGGGATGAAACCGACCGGCGGAATCGGGCGAACGACCGAGCGCGTGCTGTGCAGGACTGTAGCCCCGGACAATTTCTCTTTCATTCTCGGTCCTTAGGGCTTCAGCCAATGCTTCCTGTGCCGTGATCTCAGGATCTTCCATGGCCAGTTTGGTCATGATGTGTTTGGTGCATTTGATGGCCCGCTCGACATGGCTAATCTGCCAGTGGGCTTCGGCGGGAATTGTGTCCAGTTCTATGTTCTGTGAAGACATGTAGTCAGCCACTTGTCCTGATCTCCAGGCTCCAGCCGGGTCAACACGCAGTCTGTCTGGAAGTCCAAAAACAGGTTTCCACAGTTCCTGAAACACGTTTATGAGGTCCTGTCCGTTGATCCCCTTTCCCCGACCGGTTTCCACCACCCGACCTACTCGAAACCGACATCCCTCATCAATCATGAGTGTGAATTGGTATTTCTTTCCATCGGTAGGGTGATTCCAAAAAGCATTGTCCGCCTGAACAACCTTCCATTTTGGGGGAAGGGGTTCCAAGGAAACCTGAGGTCGGGGCACCATACGTTTGGCTTCCTGACATGTTGGACACCGATAGCTGCGAGCCAACTCCAAGAGTCTAGGGTCCGAACCTCGAGCCTGAAGTGCTTTGACTAAGTGCTCAACCGGACTGTGTCCCGAGTTCCT